TCTATTTGATTATATGCGTGTCTATTACCTTCAATCAACGGCGAAGTTCATCATCTGTAGGCACTGCCACTTACTCTTTAGACCCCACCCCTTCCTGATTACCCCCCCTCCCCCACATATTCCTATTGTGGTTCCACGCCTCTCACTTTTAGAGCCACCCCATCTTATTTAGACCGCGTCTCCCTCTGTTTGGGTAGTGGTGGGAAGAGGGGGAGGAACGTCAAATGTTCGAGATGAATTGCAACAGAGAAGGGAACGGGAAAGGGAAGAGAGAAGAAAAAAGAATGGGAAATGAGAGGAGACGGATGGAGAATGAATGGAGAAACGGGAGCAAGAGGTCAGGAGGGGAGGGGGAGAGGGAGGAGGAGGCCACATCAGGACCTCGACGCTGCTGCCGCTGCTGCTCCACGGAGTAGCAGCGGCATCTGTCCTCACACTGGGCGGCGGGAAGGCGGGAGGGGCTCTCAGTGGGGGTGGCCACACACCAGCCACGTGATTTACGGGCGGCTCGAGCTGGTCTCGAGATACGGATGGATGTTGATGCATCGCGTCGTCATGCCGGCCACCGGTCGTCGGGGTTTTATTGGCCGCACTAATCTCCGGTGCGGGTCGCTCGCTCGCTGCTTCGGTGGCGTTTCTCGCCGTGCGCGTTTCTGAAAGGGCGTGAAAAACGGAGAGAAAACGACGCTGGAAATGTATCGACAGGCATTCTTTTCTTTCATTGCTTTATATTTCATTCTCTATTGCATTGTCTGCAGTATGATGGAGTGTAGCCTTTTTAATGTGAACATTTACAAATACTCCACCGTACTCTGTATGTAAATGTGCAACCCTCCATTTGTGTGCGTGACACTGCCCTGCTTTATTACTGTGTGAGTGGTGCAACGTTCAGGGTTTTCTAGGCTGCGTTCAATTATGCGATTCTTGAAATAACGTTGTATTATTATTACTGTTTCCAGCCCTTTGTCAACACTGGTGGATGAAGGCCTCCGCCCCTTGCTGTGTTGTTGGTCACGACCGTTGCTTAACCATACTTCACCACCCTAGTCGGTGTGGGCTGGTTCAGATATCAGTCGTCACTGATGTTAGCCATGCCTGGGAATGTGCTATTAAAAAGGACCATCGCCGAAACGTCGCCTATGACTTTAAAATTGTATTTTAAGGCCGCACGGTGTTATTGACAAATGCGTTGAGTTTTCCTTTTTGTTACCACAATATCAGTCGCGTGTTCCAGAAGACTGCTGTTGCTGATAGAATGGCCATGCTGGGGCACATCTCTTTGCAATTTGCTGTCTGCAAGCCTCCTCCCCTTCCGAAGAGGCCCATGAGTTCCGCTCGATGAAGCACGCTATCGAATGTTTTAGCTGCGCAGTTAGCTTGAGTTAAGTCCGTGTTTGCCGTGTAAACGCGGGCGCTCGTGTTGACACGAGGCGCGTGCGTTTAACTCGTTCACTGGCGGCCTCCGTCTTGTGGACACGCGGATTTTACGAGGCGCTCTGTGTGTCGTGGATCTCTGTCCGCGTCTGGCAACAAAGTGTACAGTTTCTCATTCCGCGATTAAAACGTGCGGCTTGACCTTGTGACCTACGAGGGATCGCCGGGATCAGGCGCCGAGCCTGGCCAGCGCCCGGAAACGTACAAAATTCCTCTCCCATTTCCGAGTGGAGTGAAATCTTCCAGTCTCTAAATCGTGTATACAAAGGTGAAGCTGCAATTTCCTGCTCACGCCACTACAGGTGGAAGGTTCTTCACTGGAGGGAGCTCTATAGAGCCCCTCTAGAAGAGGGTATTTGGCCTACTCTCCCACGCTGTCCATACGTCCCAGACGAGGTGGAAGCACCCATACTTTACTCCACCACGTGCGACCTGCCGCTCGCCAACTACGGCACCCGCACCACGAACACCGATGGGTCCACACAGGCGCTAGATTGAATACACTTGCCCTGTGTGTCACCACCGTTCCGGGAGATGCAATCTACTGGGCATCTGTGAAAAAGAGCTTTCTGGCTCATCGGATTCCTCCAGTATAAATATTGGGAGTCTGGAATCGAACCAGCGACCTCTGGATCGCGAGGGCTGACCACTGCCCCAAGGCAGCATTTCTGTCCACGCTACGCTGCCCACGCTACGCTGCCCACGCTACGCTGCCCACGCTCCGCTGCCCACGCTACGCTGCCCACGCTACGCTGCCCACGCTCCGCTGCCAACGCTACGCTGCCCACGCTACGCTGCCCACGCTACGCTGCCCACGCTACGCTGCCCACACTATTCTGCCCACACTATTTTGACCATGGGGAGGGAATTTCGCGACATCTGTGCTAGATCGCCGGCTCGCGCGGCCACCCCCGACCGGCTGTGCGTACGTTCGTTGAACTTCTCTCGCACCGTGCATAGCCAGCCGTGTTAATCGGAGGTGCGGGGCTGAAAAGAAAAACGCTCAGTCATGGAAATCGCCCAACATCCCAACGCAGCTGGTCTCTCCTGAAAACGAGTCTTCAGAATCAAAGTATTTATTTATACTGGAGGAAGCCGATGGGGATGTCTAGTAGAGTCTCAGTAGTGTTGAGACTCGGCGAGTCGTTCCCGGGTACGTGGCGCTCTGCTCAGGGCGCGAGGAAGGCGGAGGAGTGGACTTGGGCACGCAGGAGCGAGGTGCCACGTGAATGCACGCACGCGGTCTGCAAAAGAGCAGCCCTCCCTCCCCCCTTCCCTGCGAGGGAATCGCAGTAAACTCTGTCGAACATTGGCAGAGCGCCGGACGTGGGAGTGATTAAGGGAAACGCTTAACGCGCACCGATTGAGGCGCAGGGTAAAAACCTCGCCGCTCTCCTTAACGAGAAGTGGTGCCTCGTGTTCCCTCAACAATTAAGCGCAGCAAAGCAATTCCAGATGTTTATCCTCTGCGCGCGTGTATGTGTTTGTGTTTACATTATAGCCTTTAAATTGACTTGTAAAACTTGAGTAGCGCTTTGCCTTTAAATGAATGCGCGCGCGCACTCCGAGAATCCTCGCTCGTGAGCCGCCGGGAAGGCAGCACGCGCCGCTGGCAAACGTCGCGGGCATTCAAATTGGTAGCGGTCTGCTGGAGTCTGCCGGCAAACAGCCACGGCGCTCGGTGCCAGCCTCATTGCGTTTCCTTCACCGGCAACGTCGATCTTGCGCGGGCGGGGTTATCGCGTTTAACCGGTGGCGAGAACTCGGGAAAGATTTCACCTCCGGTTAAATGCACGGATGCTCTCTCCACCCTCCTCCCCCTGTTCTGCGTGGGTTTCATCCGTGTTCATCCCACAGCGAACACAAACAACAACAACGCGGCGTGAACCGGCGTTGGCCAAACATCCCAATGACGAATAATTACCTGCGAAACACTCGATGAGGATCGCACAAAGCAACCTGCACAGCGATACAACTTGGCAGGAGCCTCCTGGAGAATAGAGTCCCGCTGATGAATACCTGGGTAAATAAGAAGAATCATAATAACAGCAACAACAGCAACAGGAATCGTCATCTTTCTCCTCTGCACGGCCACGAGTGTTCGCTGCTCGCCATTTGTCTGCCACTGCACAGGGAAGAGAGAAGCTCGGAGCTGCAGAGCGCGTGGCCACAACACCAGCCGCTCCTTAGCATGGCCTACTTATTATAGTTGTTGTTGTTCAAATCAACTCAGCAAAACCATTGTCATCCGAAGTAGTCTGTTCGGGGGGATATGAGAAGCTTGAACACAAAACAACGGCAAGCTGCTACGCGCCAGGCTGTTGGCTTCCCAAGTAACAACAGCGCCCAACAGAATGTAGCGCACCTGGAGAGCAACGATTTCCTGCGAGAAGCAGCGGCGCTCAAGCAATGCGCGCAACAGGCCACGAAAGGGAAACACGCGTCTCGCCTCAAAGCCAAGTCGCTTGTGCGCCAGTGTCCTGGGCAATGAGCTGCATGTGCTTCTGCACTTGCCATGATTGGCGGTGTTCCATTATACGCTACTATTGCTCGCTGCTGCACGCTGCTGCTGCTGCACATTGCTGCACGCTGCAATCGCATGAGTCATGTTTGTCTGCAAGAACCGTGTTCGCTGTCGAGAGGGATGCGCGCGTGGATCGGCGCTCACTCGCTCGCTCAATTTCTCGCCCGCCCCGAGCAAGCAGAGCACGCGGGGGCATCAATGATGATGCTCGCGCGCAGAAACGAGCGCGAAATAGCCCCAGAAGGCCCTCCCTTATCCCTGCCTGCGTAGACATCGGTGGGTGGAAGATAAAACGCTGTGCGGACGACCTCCGGTGTGGCCGGGGCAGAGGGCTGTGTGCACCTGGTTCGTGTCGCCCGTCTCTCGGCGGTGGATTCGGCGGCGGTAAATGTCAAGGGGCAATTCGCAAACTTGTATTCTCCGTTTGTTTTTAGTGTGTAAATAAAGTAGCGCATTGCCGTGCGCTACTTACCCTTGCGCCGCGTGCGTTCACTCGGTGCGCCACATCATTAACAGCAATAATGAGCGCGTTGCAACAACAACACATTCCAGCGCGTCATATTGTTTAGCACAAAGTGCACTGTGAGAGGCGCGTCCGTGGGCCCGCCATGCCAAGCAAAGCTTCAAGCGTCGCGGTGCAATTTATTCTTGATTCCTGGATCTAGAAATGTTTTTTCAAGGGTGCTTTCGCGTCATTCTGCTCGTAATCGAGATGCAAACGTCACACGTGGCTGGGCGGTGAAAGAAACCCTCTGGAGGGCCGGAGCAACTTCGAGAAGATCCTTCCCGTTCGTAGGGAATGCCTAGGGAACCGCGAATAATTAATCAACGCATTATTAATACATTAAAATTACATTCACACGTCATTAACACCCAACAGATTAAATTAACACTAAATAACTTGAAAGCAACTGAATATTTACAAGGTAATATGTATATACACTCTGGGTGTTGCTACCTTGGAGTGGCACGGGGGGGTGGCACGGGGGGGGGGGGGTGGCACGGGGGGGGGGGACACGTGCCGGGTCGCCTGGAACGCCGCTCGGCGGTCGTCGACCCAGCCGGCGTCCTCGTGTGTCGGCGTGCGCGTGCAGATCAGCGGCACCATGTACAACACGGGCAAGTACATCTCGCTCCGCCTGGACAAGGAGCACCTGGTGAACGTGTCGGGCGGTCCCATGACCTACAACCACCGCCTGGAGGAGGTCCGCATCCACTTCGGCAGCGAGGACAGACAGGGCTCGGAGCACCTCCTCAACGGGCAGGCGTTCCCCGGAGAGGTGCGGCCATCGGGAACGGACACGCCTCGCGCGTCTCACTCTCGTCCGTGGCGTGTTGTGTTGTTGTAGGAGTGCACGCGCCGTACGTTGAACTTCTTTCGCGCCGTACGTAGCCAACCGTGCTAATCGGAGGTGCGGTGGTTAGCGAGTCGATGGCGTGACGGCGGCCATTCGTGACTGCACAGGTGTGAGGTTTGCGCTTAATCCACCTCCCGGAACCGACAACATCGGAGTTACTGTCAAGGGACGATCGTCGTTCTCTCTGGCAGTGCCAGCGAGAACGTGCTACCCCCTGGTGCGGATAGGAGGCCGCTTGAATGGATTCGAGAAGCCAGTTCCGTGTTATCTCCTTATCTCACGACGACGATGATGATGATGATGATGACGCCGATAGCACAATCAGCATAGCATGGGCGGGGGGGGGGGGCAGACAACAAAAAATCTTGCGATCATTAAAAGGCGCGTTAGCAACGTACATCATGCACTATAAATGCAAATGCATACGCGATGATGCTCTCGTGTGAATGTCAGCAATTAGGCTGCGTCGCACCTGCAATTTACCGCACAATCTGACGCCCCGTGTTGACAGCTGCTCGTGTCTCACATCGCCTCGCCGTTAAAGGACTGCACATCCTCGACAAACGCCTAAACGGATGAATCCATTTGCCGCCCGCCTGCCTTGCGTTTGACGGAACGTGTCTCATCCACGATTTCCCCACAGCCATTATCAGCAGTGGCCATTCCTCTGACCTTTAACTATTGCTGTTCATTCCATTTTAGCCGCGTAGTTGTCTTTTTTAATTACTCTAAATGGTCTCCCAGGGGGTTATTGATGCATAATTTAGTCAGCTCGTAGCCATAAACCCGATGTTGTTTATGTAATAAAAGCGTTACGTCAAAAAAATTGCGGGAGGATCATGATATCGTTTTCAATCGTCCGTTCGTGTTCACGTGGAATGGCCAAATTGAGGAGCGGCGTCCCCGTAACGCGACCAAGGCATCGCCGCCGCCGCCGCCGCCGTGGCCCGGCGATCGCTCCGCGCCGCTGTGCGCGCACGTCCAGGCCTCGGGAAATTACCGCCGCAATTAAGGAGGACGTGAATTCACCCCGCAATTGTGCGACAATCACAATTAGAGCCTTTGGCGACACCAATCGCAATATTCATGGCATGTTCGCAATAACACAAATTAACGCGTCTGCACGACCTTGACCCGCCGTTGCCCTCCGGACTTCCAGGTGCGACTTTCCGCATTTTACACCTCAACCGCCCCAACCTCCTCCTCTTCCTCCTCCGTATTTCAAGTCACCACTTTGTGGCCTATCAACCCAACTACATACATAATCATGAATCGGCTGAAACACTGAACTGCGTGTATAGATATCCCCCCGTCTCCCGCTACATCAAGCCCGTGCTAATGCTACTCTTATGATAACTTTACTGCATTTTAATTAAGTGTCAGTCATGCAAATTTCATGTCAAAATGCTGCGGTAGGATTTGTAACGAGCACGCTTGTCGCGCATGGATGCGTGCGAAACCACAGACGAGCGGCAAGGCAGACAGACAGACAGACAGAAGCGGCGCTCCCAACAATTGCCCAAGCTCTGTGGTTCTATATGTTGGGGTTATCTCGCCGTTCTCCCATGATGCACCACAGTACGTTGCGATGCATCGATCGTTGCCCATTCTTTCACTCGTTATGCGTGCGTCGATGGGCTTCCGAGCGGTGCACGTGGCGTGTAGCGGGCTCGAGTGAAAATCCCCTTGCGACCCAGATAAGCCGGGCGGCTTGTTTGGGTCGTTTGACTGCGCCGGTTGGTGTGGTTTGGTGCAGGTGGAGAGCCATAGACGCTGGAAGCGTAGTATAGTATAACTATGGATTCTGCTGCAACGCAGCACCGCCCGTACGCCACACGGCGGTCGCCCATCCAAACCCTCTCCAGGCTCAACCCCGGCTCGGCTTCTGTGACGTGACGAGATTTGGCGATTTCGGCACAGGACGCAATTCTCGCGAGGGTTGATCACGTGCAATTTGTGAAAATGAGATCCAAATGTGCCCATGTATAGACGAACGTGGCACGGAGGCCAGGAGTATACACATGAGATGGTGGGGGAAGGGGTGTGTGGGGGGGGTGAAGACAATGCAAACGAGACCGGACAAAAGAGTGGGTTTCTTGATTGAAAATGAACACCCCCCCTGCCCCACACAATTCCCGTAACTGGCGTGGGGGGGTGGGGGGAGTTGGGTGCCAGCATGCGAGCCGCTCTCGTGAGTCTCGGCCATCGAAGAGGGACGGGGACGATTGCGGGCAACGAGACGAGACCACCGCTCGCGTCACTCACCCCCAGCGTCCCGCAGCCAAGCAAGGGCTGACATTTACCGAGGACCTTTTATAGATCCGTGGCGTTGTTGTCGTCGTCGTCGTTGTTGTTGTTGTTGTTGATGCCTCCCGCACGTCACGTCTCATTACTCGGCAGGTTCAGCTCATCCATTACAACCACGAGTTGTATCCCAACGCGTCGGAGGCTGCGCGGAACCCCAACGGACTGGTCGCCGTCTCCATATTCATCAAGGTTGGTTGGGTGCCCGTGGCCTTGCGGGGCTGCCCGCGTCACGTGGCCCACGGCGGGGTTGGATGTCGATGCCGCGCGTCCGCGGGTCGGCTGAACTTCGATCGGCGTTGTTCGCCCCCGAAGGCCGGAGGTCGTTTTACGATCACCAGCACCACGCTTCTTAACCCAGCAAAGCCTCGCAGAGTCTCAAGACGCTTTCCGTTTTATCAGGAGGGTCCTGCCAAGTTTCCGCAATCGGCGGGGGCGGGGGGGGGCGATGTCCCCCCGCGTGCGTAGTCCCAACCGAGTCATTTGCGGGTCGTTTTTATGCAACACTGGGGGGTGTTGGTGGCCAATGCCGGCAGTCACGCACCTGGCGCGGGAGGGGGGGGGGGGCTCACCACACAGCTGGGCGGCGTGGTGACGTCACCGCCGCCCCCCTCCTTGAGGAGTTGGGGTTGTATATAAATATATAATTAGGGAGAGAGGGGGGCTTACCGTCTGCGCATTTGTCTCTAGAAGTAAATGGTCAACTTCGAGCCCCAGACAGAATAGATTTACTCCGGTTGAGACATTGGGCCCACTGACAATTGAACAAAAAGTCGCAAGCCCAGATGCAACAACGGTTTCTTTAGTTTAATGTCATTATGTTACCCGTGCGTGTCGCGCCTCTAGTGAGTGCGGGGGTCAAATACGACACGCACAAGTCAACAAACATTAATTCTTACCCATGATATTCAATGATTGTATCGCGAGCTCAAGAATCAATATTAATTGTGACACCCAACTAGCCGTGTCAATAACCCCCACTGACACTTGGAAGGTGCCGTGAACAATGATGACACGTGCTGTCTTTAGTCGCCGCTTATTGGCCGCGCCCGTGCGAGCGAGTGTGCTTGTGAGATGCAGTCGTATTGTCTGTTTCTGTTGCAGGTGTCAGAATCTCCAAATCAGTTTCTGGATAAACTCCTGAACCGAGACACTATCACGAGGATCACGTACAAGAGTAAGCCGATCGCACACGCACGACCCCGCGTCCACTCATCCCCCGCTTGACATAATTCGCCGGTGCGGTACAGCGTCCCAGCGTCGCGTGTCTGACCGTCACGGATCCGCCAATTCACCGCCCCGCCCGCCTCGCGCAGGCGGCTCCAGCGGCAGAGCGAGCGGCCCGCAATCCAGAAGGTTGCGAGTTCACATCCTGGTCGAGGGGGGGTTGACTCATCCTATCGACCGGCTGGCGCCGATAGCATGCGTAGCGCTTTGTAGGAATGTGGATTTCCCACGGCTGGCTCTGGGCTGTCTTCGCCGCTCATGTGAGCAGCAGGAGATGGCTGTGACGATTGTGAGCGTGGGGGTGGCTGTTATAGGAGGATCACCAGCAGCTACCGAGGGCGCAGCCTTGCTGGAGCTCATCACGGTGGATGGGCCACCGAGGAGATGGAGGTGAATAATTCAGAGGGCTCGCGTTAAATATGGATTGAGAAACGCACGGGGAAGGTCGCAGACAGAAGCTTGCTTTTCTCTCGGTGTGATACAGTCATTGCAGCTGAAGGCTATGAAAAATTCCGTTGAGTTTAATGTATGTTGCAATTTGTTTTTTATGTTCAGGAAAATTACTAAATACACAAATTTACAATTAGTCTTTCTCAACAAGGTTGAGGCTCTCTCTGCACTTTGTGAATATTAGCAAAATTACGTCCAAGCATAAGCGTATGTGTATCTCACTTTGTGTAACGGTTGCATTCATCATGCATGATGAACTAAAGAGGCGCGTGAGAGTGGCTGGGTGCTTTTGTAAAACTGACGTTGATCAAGAAAAGCAACGGAGCATCTGCCTTGATCAGGACACGCAGCCCCGGACGAGGAATATGGTTCAGAACCACAGACGTCGGCGAGTCGACGACGTGAGTGTGGAGAGATGCACGCTGGGAATTCCACCCAGGAACGGAGGGGAGGGGCGCACGGATCGGGGAACAATGCGAGCAAGCGAGGGGTCGCCCGCTGAATGTTGGGAACGGCGAAGGGGTTGGCTCGGAAACGGCTCAACGGCGAACGCGGCGGATAGCCGAGATTGGCGACGGAGGTGGTGACAGGAACGGAACGACCGCCACAGAGACGGAGCGAGCGATGGGCTCGCGCGCACGAGCGACATTGACTGTGGCATCGGTGGCGGTCCGGGGCTGACGATGTTGTTGCTGCAGGGGAAGGGCACAGTGAGTGCCGCTTACAATCCACCGTACATGCGGCCCCGCTTGCAAGAGTTGTTCTCTCCCAGCCAGTTCCCAATCATCTCGCCTCTTTGCCTGGTGGTCCGCTAACTCCCGCCGCGCTGGTGATTCGTGAGGCACGCGTGCCGTCCGCAGTGAGTTGCTGCGCTCGTGGCCACAGGATCTGCAAGCCGCGAGGCGCAATCCAAGTCGGTGCCTCGAATTCTGTCAACGCCCACGGTCGAGAACAAAGCCAAATGTTTGCATGGCTTCTCAAGATGCCTTGTTGACAATTTGCAAAATGATTTGCCAGGTGGCGAGCGCAGATGGGCGACTCCACACACGCCGTCACCCTGTCTCTCTGCCGCCCCTCTCAGAAGAAAGTTCCAAAAATATGTACAGTAGATCATTTCCGTGAAAAGAATTGACTGTTAAAATATGGTTAAGCCTTGGGGGGTTTTGTGGCGTTATTTCATTATTATTTACTAACCCCTGAGAAGAGGAGCAGTTTTAATTAAAACGATGCTCGTGCAAGTGCGGGGAGGGCGAGCGGAGCCAGTGCGTGGCCGCTCGCAGCAACCCGCGCAGTTGCCGAGACGTTGTGAGGAGTTGTTTGCCTTCAGGGGCATTTCTGGCACTCTGGGTAATTTCTTAACTTAAAGCTTTCGTGACCGCAGGCATTCATATTCTTTGGGTTTTTCGGTAAAGTCACGTAGATAGGTTCAAAGAAAACAAATAAATAAATAAACTACGACGTTTTGATCGCAACACAAGCGGTTCGCTTCCAAAGGCAAACTTTATAAGGGTTTGAAATGGGCGTAACCCAAATGTCAGCAGCCAATGTTAATGCAATTCAGTTACTGGAGGATCATCGTGTGTGCTGCTGTGTGTACGTGCTGCCGAGGGTGCGTGTGTGCTGCTGTGTGTGCGTGTGTGCTACTGGGGGGGCGTGGGTGCTACTGGGGGTGCGTGTGTACTGCTGTGTGTGCGTGTGTACTGCTGGGTGGTGCGTGTGTGCTGCTGGGGGTGCGTGTGTTCTGCTGGGTGTGCGTGTGTGCTGCTGTGTGTGCGTGTGTGCTACTGGGGGCGCGTGTGTGCTACTGGGGGTGCGTGTGTGCTACTGGAGGTGCGTGTGTGCTGCTGGGTGGTGCGTGTGTGCTACTGGGGGTGCGTATGTGCTGCTGGGTGGTGCGTGTGTGCTACTGGGGGTGCGTGTGTGCTACTGGAGGTGCGCGTGTGCTGCTGGGGGTGCGTGTGTGCTGCTGGGTGGTGCGTGTGTGCTACTGGGGGTGCGTGTGTGCTGCTGGGGGTGCGTGTGTGCTGCTAGGGGTGCATGTGTGCTGCTGGGGGTGCGTGTGTGCTGCTGGGGGTGCGTGTGTGCTACTGGGGGTGCGTGTGTGCTACTGGGGGTGCGTATGTGCTGCTGGGGGTGCGTGTGTGTTACTGGGGGTGCATGTGTGCTGCTGGGGGTGCGTGTGTGCTGCTGGGGGTGCGTGTGTGCTACTGGGGGTGCGTGTGTGCTGCTGGGGGTGCGTGTGTGCTGCTGGGGGTGCGTGTGTGTTACTGGGGGTGCGTATGTGCTGCTGGGGGTGCGTGTGTGCTGCTGGGGGTGCGTGTGTGCTGCTGGGGGTGCATGTGTGCTGCTGGGGGTGCGTGTGTTGCAATGAACCGAGTCTCCTGCGGTGCCGCTTAACTCTTGACGGAGTTCTCGTTTCGCGCTGTCAAAGTGAACAATCGGTGACGCTGCACGCTCCGATTCACCACCTCGACGTTCATCCTCGCAGCAGTTTTGATGGACGTTGCAAACTTTCAGCGGAGAGTGTAATTGGAGCTTTAATCCGTTTTAAAAACGGAATTGTGTGGGCCATCACAAACAATTGCAACTGTGATCTAAAACGATTACGTATGTATGTGTATATGTTGAAGTTTGTCATGCCGTACGTTGTGAAAGGGAGCATTCCGTTTGTGGCAAAGTTCAGTCGGCGTGCGTGCCGGTGTTTGAGCGCAGAGGAGGACGCGCGAAGTCGCCTTGGGTCAACACCACTTTGCTCCACGCGCACTGTTTGCGTGTTGTACAAAGTTTGACGCAGTCTCGGTGGGCATTTATTTTATTTAAAAAAGAAAATGTACAAGCAGAAGGCTGCGCTAATTTGCATGCGGAGACGGGTGGCGTGATAATTGAACGCAAGAACACCGCTCGTGCTTTGCCACTTAATGTGAATGTTTTTGAAAACGCAACTTTTTGTTGACGCGTTGAGAGTTGATTGACCTGTGGGTGGTGCAGACGACGCGTACCTGCTGCGCGAGCTCTCGGTGGAGGACGTCTACCCCGAGACGCAGAGCTACATCACGTACGACGGCTCACTCACCACGCCGCCGTGCCACGAGACCGTCACCTGGATCATCATGAACAAGCCCACGTACATCACCCGCGTGCAGGTGCGTGCCGCTACGGCCCCTCCCATCGCGCGCCCGTACATCGTCGTTGCCTTGCCGATGAAGGTGCGTGGGGCCTGTGTAGGGGCGCGTTCCGTAGGGGCGAGTGCTGTAGGGGCGTGATGCTGCCAGTAATGCCAATGACGTCACTGAGCTCCGGCCATTACCGTCCATCCAGCGTCACGCATGGAAGCAGAGGTGGAACTTGATGTCCCCCCCCCCCCCAATTATTTTCTTACGTGTTGAGTTGAGTAATCGGACCGATCACCAGAAGAATAATCCGATTACTTTAATGAAACTGATCATTCGCGTTATTGTGGAGAATGACGCGAGCCACGTGGTGACAGCCACGGGAGGGCGTCACGTGGCACGAGGTGAGGGTCACGTGGCACGAGGTGAGGGTCACGTGGCACGAGGCGAGGGTCACGTGGCACGAGGCGAGGGTCACGTGGCACGAGGCGAGGGTCACGTGGCACGAGGCGAGGGTCACGTGGCACAAGGCGGGCGTCACGTGGCACGAGGCGAGGGCACTGCTGCGTGACAGCACCTGCCCAGGCGCAGGTTGCCACTTCCACTCCATGCCTCTGCTTATTCGTGCTGCATCCACATCAGAAAACATCGAATCATGACAATAATAATACATAAGTTGTATCCCTTTCTCAATCCACTGCTGCATGAATGCCTTCCAAAGCAGTGTTGGTCATGGGGGTACATTTATCAAACTACACCACCCTAGTCAGTGCAGGAAGTGCACGAACCACTGCACCACCGCTGCACACAATTCAATAAATATGCACCTCAAATACTTTACACTGCGTGATTATTATTTTGAAAGAAGGTTATACACACGCCTAATTGAATACATGGCAGTAATCCTTTGCTCATCATTTGCTAAACAGCAACAACAACTGCACTCTTCGCTGTGACGCGAGGGTGGCCACCAGGTCCCGTGGTGATGGGCAGCGCGGAGGCGTGCGGGCGGGCACACGCGGCAAGCACGCGGCCGCCTGGCCCTGGGGCCCACGAGACCCGGCCAAGCTGCAAGACGATCGTTAGAATTATTATTATTATTATTTATATTTGTTTTCTTTCCCCAATTCCCCCAAGCGGGTTACCGGACGCCTGCGTGACGACGCTCGCGCAGGCGCGACGAGGGCGGTGTGGCGGAGGAATTGTCCTGGAATATCAAAGCAGGAAAGCATGGAAAGGGAGGAGGAAGCAAGACAAACATGAGAGAGAGAGAGAGAGACCGCAGAGGTTCGTCGCTCGGCGAGACGCCACGGAGAAATGCAACGGGATACGCATCGACAAATGGACGTGCGAAAATGGAATTGTAAACAAAGCGAGTGAGGTTGCCAAGAAGACGTCGACTTTGATTGCAGTGACATCAATTTCAGCCTACGAGGGCTACCGGGCGGTTGGCGTGGTGGCTAGCGCCGCACTACGAACCCGGGGACCCGAGTTCGATTCCTGGTCAAGGCTAACATCGATGGTGTCTCAGTCGGTCCCGTGCCAGTGCTGCACAAACCCGCGCTGATGGGCGTGGTGAAGCATGGCCAAACAACACCCCCAACAAGCGACACAGCAGTGGGTTGACAAAAGGCTGTGAATTTATTTCATTATAATTCCAAATGTTGTCTCTGGGGCAGTTTTGCCAGGACAGATTTCTAGGCAGATGGCACGAGGTGCGTGCATCTCGGACGGGCGCCCATGCCGCTGCCTGCACGGCTCGGCATGGGCGGACCGCCTGCCGATCATATTCCCTCACCTTGCCTCACCCTTATTAGCTGAACAAGTTAAGCTCGCCAGAGAGGTCAGAGCAGCGTTGCTCACAGCTCCCCCAGCCCAGCTTTACGAGCTGCTCTGACACTTTGTGGTGAAGAGCTCCTGCAATGTGCAGCGTACGTAGCCAACCGTGTACCATCTGAATATATATAGACATACATAGTGCAATCAATTCACTAGTCTTAGCCTAACCCGTGCTCTAGCCATTGCTCTACGGTCCATAATGGCCACTCTTGTGCATTTGGGCAAAATGTTTACCACTCGAGTATGTAAGACGTGGCATGCAAGACTTGGATCGCTTTTTCATCCATTGGCTCCACAGGCATGGGAATGTGGACAGGTTGACAGCCATTGAGCAAGAATGACGAGCAGCAGCAGATGCATCGAGTGCCAGCAAGCGCCTGAGAAGGCGCGGGTGCGTGTGAGTTGTGCATCACTTCGTGCTGTGCGACCGCGCATAGCGTGGGGAGCGGTAGCGTGGCGGTTAGCGCAGCGCACTGAGAACCCAGCCACTCGAGTTCGAATCCTGCCCGTGGCCAACATCGGTGACGGATATCGTCACCTGGTCCTTGGCCCTCCCCGAGATCCCGGCATGACAGCGCTGCTGTCATGCCGGGCATTTGTAGGCGCTCGCTGACAGAACTCGTCCAAACGGCCTGTCGAAAGATGATAAAGTCGGGCGGTGTGGGGGTCTTTGTGTGCACGAAGACTGAACTCTGGGGCAATAAACATCGCCACGGGCTTTTGCAAAAGATGTTCCGCACGCGCCACCGCCGTCGAGCGAGTGGCGTTCGAGGTGCATTTCTACTGAAGCAGCGGCTTCAGATTCCAGTGCACGCACAGTCGTCCCTCGTGCTCAGAAGCCTCAGACGCGGGGCCCCGCCCACACTGAACGTCGTCGAAAGGCCTCAACCTGCACTCTGCAAGGCCGAGTGCAGGTTGAGTGCCATTCACGCTCAGGCCTGGGCACGCTTCATTGGTAAGCCTGGATATTGCCCGCTATGTGTTCTACACACACACGTAAAACAATTCCTGAGCTTATGATGAAACACCCGAAGATTGGTTGCCACTCTAATTTACTTCCCAATTAGTTTTTTTTTTTATCAGCGGGAGTCTATTCTCAACAGATGTCTGATGCTCTGCAGTCGCTTTAACTGTGCTCTGCGTACGCGAATATTCTGTTGTAAAATGCGTCATGAATTATGTATGGGTTTTTTCTGGCCGCGGAAGCCCCGTTTGTTTATCGTTAATTTGTTGACAGAGTTCGGTTGCATCTCATTAAATAGCATAATTTACAGATTTTATATTTTTTTCATGCCAGCGCTGATTTTTGAATTAACAATTCAAAATGTTTTTCATTAATATTATTATTTTTCTTCGCCGAATGCATACTCACCACAAACCAAAGCCTAAAACTCTTCAGTAGTTGGAAAGAGACTTCCAAGAACAAAACATGTATCGAAACCTTTTAAAACCGATCATATAAATATTCACTAAAATAGCCAACATATTGCTCACAAGAGCTCCGGAGTTGAGAGGAAACGCAGCTTCATACGTTTGTTAAAGCATTCTTGATTGCTGTGTGATCAATCGCCACTTTGAGTCACTCCCAGACGGGAAAGCTCCTCCATGGATCTGGCGTTGAGCGAGAACATTCAAGAGAAAAGTTGGTTTTCAATATCACTCCGCTGTCAAACAAACAAGCCCCTGGGCGCTCGACACGGCTTCAGCAGTTGCATCTTGGGTTATTAAGAATTTCTTTTGTCGTCCAAAAGACTTTTCCTCCAGTGCTAATCCTATAGCGGTGATAGCCCCATTGCATTTGTATCGCTATCGACCGTTTGCGTCCGCGGAGTCTCGGCAAATTGTTGGTGGTCACGGTCCGGCGGACGGAGTGAAAACGGCATGGAACTGGGTTTGCGTTCGTCTCGCCGCGCGTGCCGCAAGGAGGCAAGAGAGGCTCTGCAGACTTCGTCGACCAACACGCTCGCTCGCATTCTCTCGGGGAGGTGGGGGGGGGAAACATTTTTCTCGAGTTAAAGAGTTTTTGACATTTATGTATCTTGCTTCATGTTCTATAAAAAGGCTTCATTAAAAATGTCACCAACAATATACGTCCATGCAATATATAATGCACGCGTCGTTTTAAAATTGTCATCTGGCAATGTAACAAAAAAACGAAACGCGCGTTCAAGCAATGTCTCTTCTCCAGAGCACACACGTGGGTATGTGCCATGAAGGGCCATTGCCTATAACGTCTCCCGTCATACATTCTTCCTGTAAAGGCCACGCAGCGTTATTTTACGAATGTGTTCATATTTGCGTGTGTGTGTGTGCGCGCCCTTTCGCACCATCTCCACGTCACCGTGTCTGAATCCGACACAAACGCGTTCATAAATGTGAAGATTTCTGCGAGCGACTCGAAGCTTCACAATTGACCCAACGATCCCCTGGGGGTGCCGTGATGGTGGTGTGCCAGGCGGGGCGTCTGCCCGCACACTCTGCATGACAAGCGCGACCTTGCAGGCAGCATCTGTGCCATACGGCTCCAGGAATTGCAGCACCATTCAGGGATGCACACAAGCAATGTATTAGCATAAATTTAGAAATAACCATCATGACTAATGAGCAACCACAATGTAAATTAAATCTAAACAGGCGGGGGGAGGGGGGGGTTAGCCGTTTGCAAGGCCGATACAAAATGTACAATTATTTCAGGTGCTTTTGATTCCATCCTTGAAATGTAGATTTATTAATAAAATAAATTGGGAGAAAAAAAAATTCCCCCAAAAATTAATAAATATAGATGAGATCCAATCCTTGAAGGTAATAAGGAATGATTGTGTTGGCATTGTAAAGCCAAACAGCACTTGTGTATGCAATTGCCAATCACTTAGTTGGTTCAGCACTGCAGCCAGGTGTTCCAAGCAAGCTGGCAGGAATCTGACAAGTGAGTTGGAATGTGCGATCGTTTATTGGTTGTGCCACTTTGTTAAATTATTGATTTTGAATGTATATAAACTTTCTATTTATATACCGTGAGATGCGCTGTTTAGTAGTTTTAACCACTGTGGATCACAATTTAGTTTTAGGTGTCTGGAAAAAAATAATCATGGATGCAGTTTACCATTTAAAACATGGATTAAAAAAATGTGAGACTCTTCATTCTGATTTTTAGACCGTGCGTTACATCGCTGTGTGTTTAAAGCGTTTGCACG